TGTTTGATAGGGTAAGTCTGGATGTTCTATGCTTTATAGGCTCTGATGAAGGCAATCAGGCCGAAACTTCAGTCAAATAAACTCTTTGATCTTGGTGACTGCTACAGTTACTCAAAGATAACGTCATGCGAAGATTATGAAGAGTCAAACATAAAACATGAGGTAAGTTTTATATAGCAGTTACGGACTTACTCGTTGTCACTCTGGTCGGTTGTACCGGACACTGGGTTACCGTAAGCAACCTTATAGTCTTTAGGTCCAGCGGCGTAGATGTCGGCTTCTAACATAGCGTCAACAAGAGGCTGTAATTGAGTTTTTCTAAAACTTGTTTGAACTCGAGGAGTTAAGCGATGTACTGCTTCGTCCTCATTTTACTTCAGGTACTCAGACCAAATGCCTTACTTGAATATCGCCTGGCTTCGGCCTCTTGGTCTTCTTTCCGAATGGCAACCTTGTCACAGGTTCGTCGGAGTTTTGCTCACGGTGGAAGAGGCGGTTGAACCAGCGTCCCAAGAAATGACTTGGTTTTCCAATTCCATATCCTTGTTCGCTTAGAGCTAGAACAGTTTTGTGCAGACATTTCGAGCAAATTGTGATATTGTCTTTGGTTACTTTGCTTTAGTTAAATGACTAGAGGAATAAGATTTTGTTGAGAATCACACGCAAAATAAGGCATTATTTTTGCGATTGATTTCTTTTCCTTGTTTTCTTTTGAATGTACCATGACAATAATTTGTGTTGTTGATGTCACTTTTCCTGAGAATTTTTTCTGCATGGTTTTTGTAATAGTTATTTCTTGGAGCAGCTCATTGATTCCCGTATATTGAATTTCTCGGCTCTAACGTGATTAACAGCATACGGAAGCTTGATTCACAATCACACATCTTGTCGCTTTTTCGATTTTGTTCTACGATGCAAGGAACCAAAAATGCGATTTAATAGTGCTGCTATAATGTTATTACTATGCTTCTGGCTCTGGGCTATCTATTGGAAAAGTTCTGGAAGACATACCGTAACATTGCACCACAAGAAACAGTAGTAATAGTGCTTTCCCCATAGTTTACACTTGAGTCTACCTGTAA